AGGTCAAAGATTTTCGACAAACGACGAGGTCAAAGCAGCTGTAGACGCATATTTTTTTTGACTCTAAGCAAGAATCATTTTTTTTCAACGGTCTAAATGCTTGGAAGGGGAGGTGGCAAAAGTGTATTGAACTTGATGGTGATTATGTAGAAAAATAAAAATATAACTGATTTAGTATGTGTTTATTTTCTTGGTTAGGCCGAGTACTTTTCAATCCACCCTCGTATTTTGTTGAATAAATAAAAGGTTTTTTGTGATATAAAAATGTAATGTATATCATAGTATAGATATTTTTTGTGCTATCTTTATAAGTAAAATGTATAAATGTATGTCTTATACAAATAAAGATATTGGGCAAACCGTGAGAGAGTGATAGTACAAACTGATGTAATTAAGTGGCGTAATCGCACAGAGGGCGCGGCTCTCTTTCGCGTATAGTTTTGTGGTAGCTCAGTAAACGAGTTTTCTTACAAGTCGTCCGGGCGCTGCGCATGACTGCGCACGTCGACCTCGTTGTCCGCAGAGCACGATGTGCGCGGGCGATGCTACGTCCGGTCCTGGCATCCAAGTTACCACTTAACACCAAAGTGCGAGTATATAAAACCTACATTAGATCCATTATCACCTATGCTGCTCCGGCCTGGTACGCGCTTCTGAGCGAGCCTCTGAGGCGGCGACTGCAGGCCCAGCAAAATATGGCGTTAAGAACCATCGTCGGTGCGGGTCGCTACGTCCGGAATGACGTCATAGCGGCCAACTTGAAGATTGACACCATACAGGAATTTGTGGCCCGGTTGGCGCGCGGACTGTTCGACCGTGCAGACAACGGGCCGCATATACATCTCAACAATTTTGCGCCGCTACACACTCGCCCTCCGGACGGGCGACCCTATCCAAGAGAACTCCTCTCTATATCGATTAGAGAGTCGAGTAACAACCCTCAATGCCGCTGAAAGGCCAACTCCGACTTTAGTAGATAACCTCCTTTTTTCGTAGTCATAACCGACTACGAAAAATTTACCGATTGCGACAAACCGTATGACACCTACAATGCCATTAGAAGGCTCCCAGGACCGGTCCATAGTGGTGGACCGCGAGGACAGCACGGGTAATGGGGGCTTACCCCCGAGGCCCGAAACCTCCATGTGCCTAAAGACACGTGAAGAAGACATCAACGTACAAATCGTTGGAGAGACCTCCAGCACACCACCCCTTAAACACAGCGGACGACGTAGAGGCTACCAACATAACCAAGGCGATACAAGAGGCCCTCAACGCTGCCTCTACGATCGTCCCGATGTCTACAAGGAGAGACGATCTGCCGCGACACATTAGCGTGCAGATCAGGAGAAAAAGGGCGTTAAGGAGACTCTGGGCGCGTACTCGCTGCCCGAGAATCAAGACGCAACTGAACACCTTGTCGGAGAAACTGTCGGTTGCAGTCCAGGCACACAGAGGAGATGCCTGGGAGCGGCGTATATGGAAGGCGGAAGAGCATGATGCGTCGCTCTATAAACTGAACCGACAGTTAACTAAAGCCAAACCTCCCGTTTGCCCGCTGACCAACAACGCGGGCGAACGTCGTTACGATGCCAAGGGTAGAGCGGATATCCTAGTAGAGCATTTCGAGGAGCAATTTACGCCGAACCCAGCAAGTGCGGAGTTCTTGGAGCTTCATGCCCAAAAGGAGAGTCGCGTACAGGAGTTCCTGTCGTCGCCCGCGCCGCCTCTTGCAGGAGAGTGGTTCATCTCCCCTGCTTAACTGCGGTGGACAGCAACCCTCCTGCAACCGAGGAAGGCGCCGGGGCACGATGGGATTACCAACGCTGCACTCCGACAGCTGCCCCATAGAGTCCTAGTAGAGCTTGGTCGACTCTACAATGAGATATTGCGGACATCCCACTTCCCGGAGGACTGGAAGAAAGGCAAAGTGATCGTCTTGTCGAAACCCGGGAAGGACAGGCGTAGAGCTGCCAGCGACAGGCCGATCACGCTGCTACCACAAATAGCTAAACAGCTTGAAAGATTGTTGCTAAGACGCCTCCGCCCGTGCATCCAACTTCGGGCGGAGCAGCACGGATTCAGGAGGGGTCACTACACAACAACACAGCTGACCAGTGCTGCACCTGCTTGCGGCCGAATACAACCGTGGCCGCACTACGTTAGGCGTCTTTCTCGATATCGAGAAGGCGTTCGACAGGGTGTGGCATTCTGGACTACTTTATAAACTAGAAGAACAGACCAGTGTCCCTCCTGCTATGTTGCGGCTAGTGGCGTCTTTCCTGGCAGACAGGAAGTTCTACGTCTGCGTAGAGGGCGCCGAGTCCGCATCCAAAACCATCAGAGCCGGCGTTCCTCAGAGCAGCTGTTTGTCTCCAGTCCTGTACGCGGCTTATATCAACGATATCCCTACCCTGGCAGGAAGGCTGCAAGAGTGGGAGGATGACGTGGAATTGGCGTTATACGCGGACGATAGCGCTTATTTCAACTCGTCCAGAAGAGCCCACATTGCCACTGCCAGAATGCAACGTCTCCTGGACCTGCTGCCACCATGGCTACATGAGTGGAGAATGGTCGTCAACGTTGGTAAGACGACCGCTCTGCTCACTCGCCGCCTCAGGAACCTCCCACCTCAGCTAACCCTCAATGGCCAGAAGATCGCGTACGAGAAGGCCGTGACCTACCTTGGGTGTCGGATCGACTGCATGACTGCGCACGTCGACCTCGTCGTCCGCAGAGCACGATGTGCGCGGTCGATGCTCCGTCCGGTCCTGGCATCCAAGTTACCACTTAACACCAAAATGCGAGTCTACAAAACATATATCAGATCCATCATTACGTATGCTGCTCCGTCCCGGTAAGCGCTTCTGAGCGAGCCTCTGAGGCGGCGACTGCAGGCCCAGCAAAATATGGCGTTAAGAACCATCGTCGGTGCGGGTCGCTAAGTCCGGAATGACGTCATAGCGGCCAACCTGAAGATTGACACCATCCAGGAGTTTGTGGCCCGGTTGGCGCGCGGACTGTTCGACCAGACCCCCTTAACCAACTTGCGCCGCTACACAATCGCCCTCCGGACGGGCGACCCTATCCAAGAGAACTCCTCTCTATATCGAGTCGAGTAACAACCCTCAATGCCGCTGAAAGGCCAACTCCGACTTTATATTAGACAACCTCTCTTTTTTCCCGTAGTCGGTTAACTACGGGAAAAACTAACTAACAACGCCGATAGAAGGCTCCCAGGACCGGTCCATAGTGGTGGACCGCGAGGATAGCACGGGTAATGGGGGCATACCCCGAGACGACGACGACAATCAACGTTACAAATCGTTCGGGACAGTTCAGGACCAGCAGTATATATAATAATCAAGAAAGAGGGGGTGCATAGGGAAGTGATAGGGAAAGTAATTACTCTCTCACGGAACGGTTTGAAGGTAATTACTGTTTTATTCCCAAGGAATCCATTACCTGTAAAATACAGTCCACTGTGTCGCTATTGCGGCACATATTGAAGAATTAAGGCGTTGGGACCGGGACGACTTCGGAAGACCCGTAATTCCCGCCTGAACCTATTTGAAGAAAAGGAAGAGGTCGACGCCCTTGTGTGTTACTCCGTTGCGGGGTTCACTTACGTTGTTCCCGAACCCAACGTAGGTGTCATAGGAGGTTGGGAAATCCGCTGCTGAACCAGCCGGATCAATCGACCTTCTTCTCTGGTTCCTTTTCAATTCGCGATCACTAATCAGCTGGTGATCCTCAAGGTACCTCATGAGCTGGCAGTCTACAATGGACTCCATTGTTTTGGAGAACAAGGAGGTGATGGCGATAGGCCTGTGGTTGGACGGGTCTGAGCGGTCGCCTTTTTTTTTGGGATCGGGTGGACGAAAGCCGTCTTCTATGATTTTGGGACTACGCCTAGGGAGTAGGAGGAAAAGACGCGTTAAAACCGGTGCCAACTCCGTAAGTCGAGTGGGCCTGACGGAATCCCTCCGTCAGGCCCACTCGACTTACGGAGTCTAGGGAGAGGAGTGCTTTGCGAACTGAGCGCTGTGTGAACTGTACTTCCGGCATGGAGCACTCACACCGCGGGATGGTCGGCGGCGTACTCCCACCGTCATCTAGAGTCGAGTTGGACGCAAAGAAAGAGCCTAGCAGATCGGTTATCTCCTTTGCGGTATAGGCCAGTGAGTTGTCCTCCCTGTGCAGAGATGGAAGAGATGGCTGACAGAAATTCCCCTGGTCAGCCTTGGCGAGAGACCAGAATGCACGTGTTCCAGAAGGAAGGCGAACTAGTTTCTCGCCAATTCTGCCTATGTGCTCTGACTTTGCCTATTGTCATATATACGTACATATTGCCATATTGCGTAGTGCCTTGACGGCGGAGGAGGCGGAATTATACTTCTTTTACCTACATATATTTTATTCGAAAAACTGGGACATAATTTTTTTCCATTAATTGAAAAAATCAATGATTTTTTTAGATATTAAATCTAAAAAAACGCAATATTAATAGATATTATCTAGGCAAAGTCGGGACGGATCACTAGTTATAAATATTACCACAATATTCTGATTTTTTGTCATTAAACTGTTTGTCTTGCATATTTGCATAAATTGCAGGTAAATATATACATTATTTATTTATTTTTCAGCACAAACGACATGGAAGATACATTAGTGTTACATCCCTATTTTAACAGTATCATATATGATGAATGGACGTAACAGAGCACCTGAGAAGGGATACATAAACAATGAGCTTGCCTCCAGATTCCATCCATTTATCTGATTGCCTTTGTTATGTTATGTTCTCTTTTAGGGAGACATAATAAAAGGTATTAATTTTATGACCATACCTATAATAAAGGTGATGGATACATGCCCGATCTGTAATAGTTTGATCTTATGTTTTCAAATCCATTTTTGATCATTGGTTCCTCTCAGTCATTGGTCATTGTTCAGTCCACTAGTGACTTGTATGTACACAATTATAATTTTGTTACCTGCACAGCACCGTCGAGCATTTTGTGCAGAACGTGCGAGCGTCGCTTCATAACGCGGATGTCGTGCTCTGTTGAATCTGTGTACTGTCCGTTGGTGATGGGGTTCACAAACCGGTTCAAATACTCATTGTACTTGCCCAGCAGGTTCGGCTTCACGAATTGCACCATGCAGTAGTCTGTGGGATTTATATAGCCTTTATATTTGAATAAATGGTTATGAAAGTTCAACTATTTATTATGTATAAAAAAATAGTTCAACAATTTTATTGTAACACATCCCTTAGAGTTTTCATATGACGCAATTTTCTAAATTAACTTTGTATAGGCATAGTTGCTCAATTAAACAATAATAATTACTTACATTCTCTAAGATTATTCTGCAGAGGCGTTCCGGTGAGTACAATGCGACGTTGCGTCCTGACCCTGTTCATGGACTGTGAGAGGCTGGTCTTCTCATTCTTCAGCAGGTGTCCTTCGTCGCACACCACCAGGTCAGGACCTAAAATACAACTTTATAATGACATGCTCACCACTAAGAACTCTTTAATATTTTTGTTTGATTCTTCATCAACTTGTTTTGTTCCCGGTAGTCAAGTAGTAGACATCTCGAACCTTTGCCGTTGCTTCTCGTCGCATGGCCGCAATTTTTCGTCATCCATAAAATTTTTCCTATCCATAGTCGCCTCATAAGGACACCCAAAAGATAAAAAGACATGGACCATATGGATCATTTTTGGTTATGTTCTTAAAGTTCTTCAAAAGTGAATCTTTCTTTAAAGACGTTTCTTAATTTTTTTTATAGGATAGGGTGATAAACGAGCACACAGTCCACCTGATGGTAAGTGGCTGCTGTGGCCTATAGACATCTACATCTATTCTCGATTCCGAATCAAAATGCAGATGCGTTGTCACCGTGAGGATAAGTTGGAATGCCTCTTTTCCAGTAAAAAGGGTTTCCGGTTCTCTACACTCACCATATGAAACACAGCAGCATTATGGTACATTTTACGCTGGTATTCTGTGAGAGCGTGGTCCTTCCCGTCGAGCCGCCCCATTCGTGCTACAACTATACTACTAATATAACTGCAGCATGGCTCTACCACGTATAAAACTAATAACTATCAATGTCATCTGATGTATCTTTATATTGTTTATTTTTAAAAATGCAAAAGAATTCATACATGAACAAAATATTATTTTTGATGTGAACACTGTATGTTTGAAACATAACTGATAGAGAAAGTTATTAGCTGCATAACCACTCAACTGCCCAAGCCGCGCGAGTGTCTCTCGCCCCACCTGTCCGCGTATTAAATGTCACTTTCTTTTTTACGACTGTGCGAGATACTCTCAACAAAAACGATTACTACTGAAAAACTACTATAACTACATTCAAATAAAAACTATTAACGAAAACACTGAAATCGTAATAATAAGGCAATAGAAGTCGCATAGACGCGTGACCTTGTCGCCGCTGTGATGTGTTGACGAACATCATTCACCATTTTGTGATTTAGTTGCCCGGGGAACGTCGTACGTGAATTTATGTTATTATAAATTTATAATGGTGAACTGCAGCATAATCAGTTAACAACCCCTCCCGACTACATTTACCACCCATTAAAATTGCAATTAACAATTTCATTCGTGCTGGCGGGGATCGAACCCGGGTTACTCGCGTTCGGTTATATTTACAGAGAGCGTTAACCATCTGAGCTACCACGGCTACACGGTATACAAATCTAGATGAATACTTTACTATGATATTTTGTAAACTTTCATTTATTACTTTTCGTACCATTACAGCTTTTGTTCTACCGTAATACGCGACGCACGCGACGTTGACAAATTCGCTAAGCAATGTAATGTGAAACATTAGATATCATTGTGCATTGCGTACTATGTTTATAATACGACTACGATCCGTCGCTTAATGCGAATGTGTTAAGATGTGGCGACATCGGTTTTGGAAGTAATCGAGCGCTAATTAATTTCTATTGTCTTAATATTACTAATTCTGTGCACCAAAAGCTCAAAAAATTCAGAATTTAATGAAAACAAAATTGAAAATAATAATAAAGGATGAAAATAAAGCTGTTTTACAAGAAAAGTATGGGAATATCAAAAAAATTATCGTATTTATTTCTATTTCGAGTTTTACAAGAAAAGTATAATAGTTACTGGAAACAATTATTTTATATTATAATATTACATGATAAAATATCCTTTAAAATAACACCAATATCTCAATATTCTTTACTCAGTATAGATAAATATATAATATTTACTGGACATTAACATTCACTCCCAACGAAATGATGAGTTACATTTTAAAAATTTCTAGACTCATCTCAACATATGTTTTTTATATTTAGCATTTAGTATACTCAAAACAACCAATTAAAATACATTTTAAACAATGTATAATCAAAAAACTCTGATCGCGTATAGTGATTAAAATTTCGGGCAATTTTATACTATCCCGGTCACCTCGCTTTTGGCTCTAGAAAATCGAAAAATAATCCGATTTCGATGATTTTTTTAAATCTTCCTTATTACGGCGGATTTACGAAAAAAATGAAAACTTGTATTGGTTTCAAGGCTTTTTTAAATTTTCATACAAATGCACTCATTCACGTATAATTGTTGATAACTTTTTTAACATAATCCAATGAAGTTGTTATATTTTTCTCATAATCTACACAAAAAAACGAACATTTTAATTTATTAGCATAATATTTTTTTTATTTTGGTTTTTATTGAGTGTAAGATCGAGCGATGCGAGCTCGGGACTTAGGGCATCCCGAGTCGGGAAAAAATTAAAAAATGTTTGTTTATTAATTTTTTTATCTTCGTTTTTATTGAGGGTAAGATCGAGCGATGCGAGCTCGGGACTTAAGACGCTACCCTGACCAAAACCTGGCAAAAGTGCGTTTTTCAGACTCTATTATCTCATTAGTTATGAAAAATAAACTACATCTAAAAGTACATTATTAATGTTCGATATCTTATCATCGCATTCCACGTTCTAATTTATTTTTATGTGCTATAAATACATTTAAAATCAACTTTTAAAAAATGACTAAAATTCTTGATTACATGCATCTGTTGCTAAACGCAACGCTCTAATCATTTGAGGATAACACTAATGGATAGATAATGAAAAAATCTATATTCTCCACGTTTTATTTAAATTTTTAAGTTCGTTTTTTCTCTTTTAATTGAAATAATTCCGAAAATTGTGTGACTTCTATGATAAAGGGGCGTGCGCAGAGTGCGGGCGGCATTACGCTGTATGCGTTCATACGAGGTGGCCGCGTCGCTGGTCGCCGCGTTTCGAATTTCGCCGCAAACATAATATTATTTGAGTACCTACCAACCGATGCGCTTACGTCACGGTATATTGTAACTCGGCCGTATCTTAGAAATAAATATTACAGCCGTGCGGTACGTAAACATGCGATAGGGCTGCTGCCTCCAGTATTTTTACATTTGCCCATTGATTTATGTGTTTTATAACTCAATGCATTTTCCTACTTTGTGTTTCCATTTAGTTTTATGATTGTACTTAAATATACTTTTTTATATAAACAAATATAATAGGTACTTTGTGAATTGAATAGGAAGTGTTCAATAAAAATGCGTGTCGTTTTATGATTGGTAGATTTAATTAAAAAACCATGTTTATGTTTGAATAACAAATCGGTCTTATAAATTTGCGGCCGAAAAATATTTGCGCCTCGGCTGAAACGTACGAAATGCTTTATTATTAAAATTTTAAATATAAAAAATCCGCATTATAATATAAAGCTTAATTAAAAATTGTTTTGGGAAACATGGACAAGTTGGAGTAAAGGAATATCTTTTACTTGGTTATAGATACCTGCAGCTATTTTACAATTTATATGTTTGGTTTTAAATGAAGTTTGGATTTATTATTTTTTTATTTCTATTCTATTTTCTGAAAGGGTCCTAGGAAAGGAATTATCCACCGCGCTGCCCCACTGCGTGTTGGCGAATTTTGCATGTCTTCGAAATATTATTTTTCTTATTTCTCAGACATGCAGGTTTCCTCACAATGTTTTCCTTCACCACTGAGCACGTGGTAAATCAACACTTAAAATTGCAATTACAATATTATTGGTGCCGGCGGGGATCGAACCCGGTTTGCTCGCACACTGTGAAAATTTTAGCAAGCGCTAACCATCTGAGCTACCACGGCTCCTCCTCTCGAGCTAGAGACTATATTTTATTTATCGTCAGGCCTGTTGGTCTAGTGGTTAGTGACCCTGACTGCTATGCCGTAGGTCGTGGGTTCGATTCCCACCCAGGACAAATGTTTGTGTGATGATTTATCTATAAATATTATGTATTTAGAAATATATAAGTATGTTTATCAGTTGTCTAGTACCCATAACACAAGCTCTGCTTAGCTTGGGACTAGATGGCGTTGTGTGATATTTGTGGAATATTATTATTATTATATTATTATTGTTGGGGTATCTGTATAGTTTTCTCATCTGGTTGGTTTTTATAAATATAAATTAAAATGAAAAGATAAATATACATAAATATCAATAAAATAAAATAAATACAAAATAATATACAAATAAATAAAGATCCAACCATATTAAATAAAAAATAGTCTCCTATCTTTCTCTCTATGTTTTGATCTCCTAAAACGAGTTTGAGTTGGTAAAATCAAGGCAAACTTAGGGTAGGGTTGACAATTATTATTTTGATAATAAAACTAGTGAAATTCCGCGGTTTTATATGTGCAAGCGTGAACGTAGTTAGAACATAATATAACCTTTATATTTTACATAAATATCCTAAAAAACTTATTATTTTAATATTTTACTAAGTACCTATAAAATTAACAAGTATATTGCATTTTTATTTGAGGAATTTTTTTAAGGAATTTCTTTATCTACGTCTATTTTTAGGAACCTTTATTTAGTCTGAATCATACATAACACTATATTACTGATTTACTTACTTATACGTAGTTTTTTTTTTGCAGTTACAAATATCTTGTGAGGTTGAAAAAGGTAGTAATGAAAAAAATAATAAGAATAATAATAATTGACGTCAACAACCACTTTTCATATCATGGTCCATTAGGTTGCAGCTTCACCGAACCACAACTTATAATAATAATAATAACAATAATAATATAATATTATTTTGTATTTATTTTATTTTATTGATATTAATGTATATTTATCTTTTCATTTTAATTTATAATTTTTATATATTTAAATATTTATATAACCGAACCAGATGAGAAAATTATACGGCTCCAACGATTTTAGCGACGAACGCTTGGATTTATTTTTAGAAAATGTCCTTTTGTCCATGTTTTCAGGCAATAAAAAAACTGCTACAATATAAGAAGGTAAATTTCGACTAATCATTAACGGTCGTTATAGCTCAGGTGGTATGTCGGTCGGGCGTGATATCGGAGTTTCGTGGTTCGCGTCTTGGCTTTGGTCCCGC